AGCATTTTTTGTAGTGCGTTGCTTGCTCAGTCTCATAACACACTGACCAGTGAAACTCAGGATCTGCTCTTCAGGATGTTGGTAATGAAAATTTAAGTCACTTTTCCACTCTCTGCCAAAAGGGGCAGAGCAACAGTTTCTAGTGATGATGTGTCCCTGTTCACCCTGTTTGACTCCTGCAAATTAGCAAGAGAAACACTCAGGCTTTTAGGAGGCTTTTCCTGAATCTGTGGAGGCTGATCTGCAGCATTGATTGTAATTTTTTTAAATGTTTAAAAAAATTTTTGGCCATTGTTAACATTTGCTGCTTTAGCTTATTTGAAACATCAGACAAGATCAAAATGAAAATACTTTATTATAGAAAAAAAGTTCTTGAATATGATAATAGTAAATTATTGAGAGAATAGTATAATGCAGATCAGAAGTGTGAAAGATATTAGGTTCCTCTTTTGACTCTTGCTTGTGATTTCTTAGAAGTGCTATACAATGGGTCTTTGTCTGTAGGGTGCTATTCATTAGAAACAAATTCTAGCCTGGAATTTTCTTTTTTCCTATCCGTATTTGGAGATTTCATATTTCCTATTTTCCTAAATTATGAACAGATTAACAAAACCAAACCCCTCTACTCTTACACCTAGCATTTTCAGGTATCATTCTGTGTTGTGGCCTTGCTTTGAATATTAAATTTATTCAGAAATAAATTTCTCTGAATAAAGCAGCACTGTAAAGACCAATTCTTTTAAGCTTATGTGTCTCTGCTGTCAAGAAGGCAAGTGTATTGCAGTCATAAAATTACCTTGTAATGCTCAAAATTTAAAAAAAAAAAAATTTTTTTTTGAAATTATGCAGTAATTTGTGTTTTGGCTTATTAGCATTGTATCAAACTAAGTATAACAGTACATATATGTACTGTATTTAGCAATATGGCTGGGACAACCCACATGTTCTTCCCTCCCCTATTTCCTAATGTTAGGTAATAGAAGTACATCACGCTGGCTCTCCTTCTTCCATAAGAGCCTTTTGGGATTTACTATTCCATTGTGTTCTTCACTCAGCATGTTCTTTTCAGCTTGTGACCTTTTTGTTATACCCAGCAGTATAAAAATCGTGGCAAAACTTTATAAATCATCCTATCACAAGAAATATTAGCTCTGTATTATCTTGCCTTTTGCTGACTCCAAAGAGAATGTATTGATGGGAGGGGAGATATTTGAAAATAGGGATGCTTGAAGCATGCAGTGCAGCACACACAGGTCTCTTGCCATACTGTCAGTGTCACAAAAAATATTCTGAAGTCCCTCAGTGCTAGTGAAAAACAGGAATCTTACCTAGTAGGAGAGTTTGAACCCATCTTGATACAACTCAATGTGAAAAATTGAGTTGTATCAAGTTGTATCAAATTGAGTCTTTATTCTTGTAGATCCATACCAATAACCACCTTCTCTGTTGAGCCCCACTAGTCTGCCTTTCTTGGGTTTGGGTTTTTTTTTGGGGTGGGTTTGTATTTGTTTTGGTTTTCCTCTACCACAATTTCTGAAGCTACAAGCTGTTCTTCATGGAGATTTCAGTATCTGCTTTGGTCCAGATGCTACACTTGATCTTCTTTTAAGCCAAAATAACAATTGATCTGCTGCTATGGAGGAGTGTTTGCCTCCATAAAGAGATGAGTACAGTTTCCCTGGGTGCATGGGAGGGCTAGTGACTGTAAAATGATACCGCTGTGCTGTGCACAGATGTGTTGGGGTTCCACCAGCAATCCACCCAGGCAACATCCCAGCAAGCTACTTAGAGCAGCTGAAATGTCTCAGCGTGTGACACAGCAACCAGCGGTAACTCCCAACGGGGTGGGCTGGCTGCAGCTGATCCTTACACTCTTGTTCTCTCCCTCATTCCGAATCCTGTGCCTGCGTTTAATCCTGCTGTAGTTTAAACACCTGTCTATCTGGAATGTCTGAAATGGCCCTACTACCCATGCCAGGCTATTGGCTCACCTGCTTTGCTTAGAAAGACAGTTTTCAAATAAACACTGATACAGTATTAGAGACGAAAGCGTATCTCACTCATCGAGCAGGAGTGAGGTGGTAATTCATCAGACTAAATGGTTCTTGGTACTTGAGGAGGAGAGAAAATTGAATAAAATCATCTTCACACAGTGGATGTGTTAGCAAAGTTGTAATCACTGTTGCTGACAAGCTAAGAATTGTATATATCCTGTTTCATTTACCATGTTGGCCTCTCTGTTTGCCTCATTGGCCTTTCTTGCTTCTTTTCAGACAATAAACTATTTGTGGCTAGAAACTGTCATTGTTAGGTGTTTGTATAGTGCCTGGCACAATCAGAACTGAACTGAGTTCGAAGCTTTCTGTTATTGCAATGAAAATGCTTTCAAATTTTAATGAAATTCTACAGAAGACAAAAGCGTTTAAGGGTGAGGTAGGAGCACCAAAATGACACCTAATGCTGTTTTCCATGGGTAGTGCTGCCCATGACTAAGCTTGCCTGGTGCCTCACTCTAAGATCTTGTTCTAAGTTGCTTGTAATATTCTGAAACTTCATCCATTTGGACTCATGTTTTCTGTGCTTAATGTTCAGTTTTCAGGGCACTTCAGGCAAGGTGAAGTGTTCCAGCCAAAACCAAGGCTGGATAAAAAAAAACTCTGCATTTTAATATCTAGAGAACTTGTAAATCTCTGCATTTCCCATGCTTTGGAATAGCAGTTTGGAATTTAAAATTTTGTCCAAGCTTGATTGCACAGGAGCTATCTGAAAAGCTGCAGGTGGAATAAACTCAGCAGGACCTGCTAAGGCTTGTCAGGTTCCTGGAGGTTCCCTCCGCGCTGAGGATGCTAAACTGAATTTCTCTGTATTTACACTTCGACAGTACTGATGCTTAAGAGCCCATTCTCCTGTGTTCTCAGTGACCTGGTTTGTGCTGGGTGCCTGTCTGACTTGAATGCAGCATGAGTGGGAATCCTGCCAAGGTGTGGAGAACAGCTAGGACAAAGAGGTTGTGAAATTTAGACCTGGACATAATTAGGGAGAGGTCACTGAGAACCGTTTGGGTGAAAGGACAGCAATGGAAGGAATTGCAATGTGGTAAATGTGGTCTGATGAGGAGCCCACGTTCTGGGACTGGGTGAACAAAGGAGTTGGCAAATGAGCAGGCTGGGGAGTGGAATAAAACCAGAACCACTTGGATACAGGACGTGAGCAACTGGAAGAGGAACTAAGAACAAAAGCATGGGAAGACAGATGAAAAAGCTACTCCCATGGAAAGTTCCAGGCCTGGAACTGTGTGGCTCAGGGGCCAGAAGTAATGGAGAGGCCAGTGGTTGGAAGTCTATAAGAATGAAACTGGAGTGAGCAGGGTAAGGAGAATGACACCTGAAATGTGGAAGGTGGGATGGACTGGGTGAGAATAATGACACACAGACAAAGGAGCAAGAACAGGAAGGGACAGAGCTGAGAAGGGATGAGACGGAAGCGGTTGCTTTTGGAGAAGTGGGCAGAAGCCGAGTGTGTAACCACTGTAATTTAATCCTTTCCAGAACTTGCAGTAGGAGTTAAGATTTCTGAATTTACAAAATGCTTAGATGTCTTGTACTACAAAACGGCAGGAGGAGTGGCAACCTGCTGCGTTGCCAGTTGCAGTGTTGGTTCATGTTCGGTCAGGGGTTATGAAGTCTGCAGTCCTGCACGAGCCTATTGTAGGTGTGAGTGTTGTGTATTGCAATGGAGCTGGCACGTACTTGTTTGAGTAACTGCGCACAAACTCTGGTCAAAGAGCATTGTTAAGATCTCAAAGCTGGGAATTCACAAGCTATGCTTAAGTCACACTTAAGTGACTTCAAAAGCATTACCTTTGATATCTGGAGCAGATGCAAGGCTAGCTGTTAGACTTTTTGGTTTGTCCCCTGTGTCTCATTGGCTATACATCTTCCAGTTGCCACAGAAGCGAGCAGGGGCAATGCAGATAATTCTTGTTTGCCATCTGACCTTAATCTTGGTGCAGAACCAGGTCTGTTCTGTGTTTCTAAAAAGCAGCATGTGATCATGTAATTAAAAGCAGTCATAAACTTAATTCTGGCAGTGCCTGAGTTGGAATCTTAGCTTTGGAACCTTTGGAGTGTTTTGTAGCCTTCATAAAATGTTGTTGGTTTGGGGTGGTTTTTCTTTTTTTCCAAATATAAACTAGTACAGTGCTGTAGTAGATACTATTCTGTTACATTAGACCCTCTTCAATAAACCAACAGTTAGTGACTGCTTGCAGAGTTTTTGCTCTTTCAAGAAGATAAGCAGTGCAAGAGGATGCTCAGGGAAAGAAACAATGGAATAAATTTTATGTGCTTAAAAAGACGTAGATCATTTCTCTAGAGCTTGATATAACAAACATACACCTAACACTATTTTACACTATCATTAACTAGTGTATTTACTTGTCTGAACAGTTTGGAAGTGATTGGGTGAGAAGTTTTTAATGTGTGGTAGAATTTGGTTTAGAATTTTATATCTGAGGTGGGTACGCTGTTGGGGTGTATCTGTACATGTGTACAGAGAGGGGGTAGAGAGAGGACAGGAGGACAGATGCATATGGCTAGCGTAGTGACACGGCTTATGATGACTAGGCAGACACTCTGGTCTCTGCTCAGTGTAATATGAGCTTCTACCTTTTGACGAGTGCATGTAGAGTAATTTTTCACATGACAGGGACTTGCTGTTGCTTTATTACTTCGGGATTTTTGTCCTTTTCCTCCTTTGTTCTGCGAATGGAAGGGTTGTAGTTTTAATGCTGGTACTTCAATTCATGTCAAGCATGGCGGCTGTTGGTGTCATCTCTCCCGCTGCTTTATGCAATTAGCACAGTTTTTCTGCATCTGTAGGCTTCCCTTCTCTACCAGTCTCACTTCCCTCAGTACTAACTCTATCCTGTTTACCTAGTGGCACCCTTTGCTCTTTTCTTGGCTTTTAATTATATCTAATGTCTTTTTTTTTTCCTCTAGTTAAGAAACATGAACTTGGCCAGTGGAACTATAAGCAAGGAGAATGCAGCCACCTCACAGAGTTACCGGTCACCACTCAACAGAAGAGGGTCATTGTGGGCTGCTCGGTCAGACACTCATATGGTTGACAAAAGATCTGTCTCTTCAGCAGTCAGGTAAGTTAAAATTGCTGCTGCAGCTTTTTCAAGAGGAATGCGATGCACTCAGGAGCTCGTTCATAACTTGTGTTTGGCTTCTTGCTTAGCAGATAACATCTAAGGGCCTAGTGCTGGTTCTTCTCAGAACTATCCTTGAAACTAGGCCTATGAAAATAGAGCTATGTTCCCAGAGCTGGCAGGTTCATGGTGAAATGAGGGCATGGATGAACATGTGGAATGAAAGGGAAATGTCTGTTTCTCTTTGATGGTTTCTCATCACTGCAGCTGTAAGTTTAGGTTTGCTGGTGTTGAGACGTGCAGAATGCAAACTCATACCTGATACTGCAAAAGTCTCCACTGAGGCCTCATCTTCATGCTTTTTCCTTGAATATCAAGTTCTGATTGTTCAGAGAGCAGCGTCTTTTAGTGTTCATAAAAGTTTCGTTTTCATATGGCTTCTTTATGCTTTTTAATTTTGGACATTGGAATTTTTATTTATGGCTGATGTACTCATGGAACTCAGGGCAGAGGACACTGATTCTGCAGTAAAACCATTCTTCCTGTGATTGAAAGAGCAGCATGATTTACCTCAAGGGTTCTGAGTCTTGGAAGCTAGAAGCAAGGCGAGCTTGCTGCAATAGACTAGGCTGAATACAGGCCCAGAACTGCTGGAGATTTGAGCTCTTCCTTTGCCACTTTGGTAAATATTATTTATTCTTTTGCCTAAGCCTTCATTTTTGTCTGTTAAAATAGAATGAGGCAGAGCTTCTCCAACACATGCGTTTAGGACTGGAAAGCACCCTATACTAATTCTTGTCATTGGTGCCTGAATGCTACTGGAAAAGGGAAGGAGATGAGAGGCAGATACACAATGCAGAAGACATTTGACCCGGGTGGTCATCCTTTCCCAAATGGGTCCTTCAATAGGAGGGTTGGAATGGGATTTGGAAAGCTCAAGTAAAATTGTTCTTATTTCATCAGTCACTGCTTTTCATCCTGCCTAAAGAAGAGGAATGTGAGAAATGAATTCCTGGCCTGTTTCTGTTCCAGCACAATGTTTGCCTCTGGGGTTTAAAATTATTGAGAGAGGTGGTGGTGATTCTGCTCTTGGAGTCCAGCCAGGCGAGCTATTACCTAATCCAAATAAAGAACCTATCCGACAGGTGCAAACTGCCTTCCCCTCCTACATAGCTTGAGAGAGCAGCAGAGTGCAGGCTGTCCTTCCTCAGCTCTGCTTGGACTCGGACGTAGCTGGAAAAGGATTACTCATGGTCAGAATCTTCAGTTGCAGAGCTTTGCGGTAGTCACTGTAATTACCAAGTTGCTCTGAAACCATTTCAGTTCTGTGTTACCTGTAGATCTGAAAACCCACCATTTAATGCTCAGGACTCCACTCTGAATGACTTCCAGGGCTGTGCCTCATGTAGCATTGTATGCATAGTTTAATGTCTTTAGAAATTGTGATTGATTTTATACAGCAATACAAAAGTGCTTCAGAATTGCCTGGCCACAGCTGGTGTAAGATTCCATCTTCAAACCTTGTATGAAGCATTTGGTCTTTCAGTACTTCAGTTGCTCTGGTTTTATCCTCAGAGCGAGACAGAAAGATGTCTTAAGACCATTTATTAAGTTACTTTATCTTCATATCTGCTTATATCAAAGGCCAGAGTACTGGGAGTTAAGAGTTTTATGTAAATGTGGAAATGAAAAAAAGGGATTCTTGAGGCAGTGCTGGATTACTTGGGCTGTGAACATTTATTTAATGAGAGCATTGCAAAAGGAATATCAAGGTGACGGTATATGCAGATGGCTATCTTGTATTGTAAATGCCTTTTTTGCTATTTGATCTCTTACACTGGAGCAAGCAGTTCATAGAGGGTTATCTGATGGGTGTCAGCCTGTGCTCAGTGCCGGATCACTGTTTGAAGAAAAGCTTCCTGTTTTGTTCCATTAAGGTTCTGGACTATCAGTTGTAGAATTCGGCAAGGATGGAAATATTTTGTAAATGGGTCTCTTATCTGGCTTGCACTTGGCTCCAGTTCAAACATCTGCCTCTGAAATTCAGTCCTTAGAGTTTTTGTATGGCTCTGTGGTAAATCTAAACCATTTTAGTGCTGCTGAGGTTTGTTTGAAAATTTTGTTTTGATGCTTGCAAACCATAGGATTCAGGCTATTCTTACTGACAGATCTTCCTCCTCTTTAATTCCCACTCTCCCAGTACTGACTTATCTAAATGTATCTCAAAAGAAGTTCTCCTTTTGTTGAATTCTTTTGGCTGTATGAGATGAGGTGCCGAACAAGTAGTCTGCTCACCAAAAAACAAAGGAGATCTTGAGTTTGTAATAGAGACAGAGAACAGTTCTAGGTATGTTGAAATGTTATTTTATAAATCTACACTGCTCTGCTTTTTGACTTTTTGGGTTTTTTGGGGGCACTTTCTATAAGCATTGGTGCTATTCCTACTCAAATGATGGTTTAGGCTTTCCGCGTGCTCAAGACTAAAAAGTCTGCACAAGAGGGCTACACATGAGGAGAGGTGTTCCAAGTTGTACACGGGCTTACTTCTGTAACGTGGCTGTCAGCCTCTGCCACCTTTGCTGCAGCACTGCCTTTGTTGCCCTCTGTAGCTTACTGAGGCTACAACAAATCTCCTCTCTCCTTTAACCCTAGTCCTGCCTCAGTGCCCTATTTCAGTTCTCAGCTTCTCACTCTGTCCATCAGGCAGGATTGTCACCCATTCACATTCTGCAGTAAAGCCACCAAACATGGTTACATGTTTTGTAGTAGAATTGTTTAAGACTCCCATGAATAATTTTTATCACAACTTTAGTAATGTGGTCTAAGGATGACAAATATGAAAGTGATTCCTTGTTATCCGGTGAAACTACTTTCCAGTCACTGAAGCCAGGACCTTACTAGAACTGCTGTCTCTGGAAAGCATTCTCAGTTGCATAATAAAGGTAAAAAATCAAGTGTTCTGTTGATTCAGAACCTAAACTAACTTTCAAGTACCTGTTCACAAATCATCACAGAATGGTTTGGGTTGGAAGGGACCTTAAAGACCATCTAGTTCCAACCCCCCTGCCATGGGCAGCGAC